TTGTCGTACTGCTCTAACAGTTGAGAAGTTTTTTTTCTTGACATTCAACCGAAATCTGACTTCCTGTAACCCAAGCCCATTCTTATGTGTCCTGCACTCTAGGATGATTGAGAACAGATCCTGACCCTCTTCTGGATGGCAGCCTTTCAAGTCTTTAAAAATGCCATCAGATCTCTCCTCTGGATGGCAGCCTTTCAAGTCTTTTAAAATGCCATCCAATCTCCTCTCAGTCTTCTTTTCTCAAGGCTAAATATGTCCATTTCCTTCAGTCAGTCCTTCTACCCCAGTTCTTCTAGTCTTTCCTCCTAGGAATTGGTTTCCAGCCCCCTAATCATCATCCTTGTTGCTCTCCTCTGAACTTGCTCCAGTTTGTTGGTGTCTTTCTCCAAGTCTGGTGTCCAGAAGTGGACATGGTACTCTAGATGAGGCCTCTCTAGAGGATCTCTCTCTACTCACTTTTCCTCCTTTCTGATTCTGAGCCCGTGACAAGTCCACATTTCATCTCAGTGGCCCAGAAATGCCCACACGGTGCCACTTCTGCAAAGGCCGTTCACATTTTTAACTCTCCTTTCTGTTCTAATCTAATTACCTTTCTATAATGCTCCGTGGCTGAGCATAATGTTAAATGGATGATTCTCTGCAAGTCACACTTAGCGCAAGTTGGAAAAATTCATTTAGGGTAGAGCCGTGATTCATTACGGCAGGAGAGGATTTGAGACTGACCAATTAATTTGCTCCGTTGCCTGGCTCAAAGCTGTCATGGTTACCCTCCGGTGAAATGTTGAGTTATTTCTAACAGCTTTTTCCTCTGCCCGCAGTCCACAAGGCCACCTTCAAAGGAAGGCCAATAAGAGGCATCACAGAAACTAAAAGAGTGGGAGGGGTGGGATGGATACAGCATTTCTAGTATGGTCAGACCCCCCTCGTCTCTGGAGCTTGGGCATTCAAACTCTGCAGTCAAATGATCCGTAACTGATTGACCAAGCTGACTGCATCCGATTTTGCATTTCCAACCACTGCCTTGACCAGGCCTGCTCAAGACCCTATTGATCAGGGTTCCGTTGAAGGAATCACACCCTCAGGGCATGTGAGTGGCGACGCTAAAACCACCTCTTATGGTAGAAGCTCAACTGGCCTCTACATTGGCCATGAGATTTGGGGGCTTTAATAGAAGCATAGTGATGCCTCGCAAGATGAAATTAATTCATTCCACGAGTCGTGTTGTATCACAAAAATTCATCTTGCGAAGTGCGGTACTAACGGTTGTGCGATTTAAAGCAAAAAAAGGTAAAAAATTCATTTCGCGAAGCACGACCATCGAAAAATTCATCTTGCAAGTAACCCAAAAAAAAATTGCACAGCGCTCTCGTCTTGCGC